CGTGACACTTCCGCATCTAGAAGACATCCATTGGCAGTGAGGTAAGAAACAATAACTATCCATTAACTCATCTTTCAAAAAATAGACGCTTCAGAAACAAGTTAGTCTCGTACAACAGGCAGGGCCTGAAGTCGTGACACTTCTGCATCTAGAAGACATCCATTGGCAGTGAGATAAGAAAATAACAATAAATTCACTCAGCTTTCCAAAAATAGACGCTTCAGAAACAAGTTAGTCTCGTACAACAGGCAGGGCCTGAAGTCGTGACACTTATGCATCTAGAAGACATCCATTATAGCAGAGCTCCAGAAAAATACAAAGCATTTAAATACGCCCCCAAATGCAGGTAGATAATATTTCTTGATATTACAAAATTGATGACAGTGTGAGAAAGGAGTGATTCAAAGTACTATTTTCCAGAAAGAACATGATTTAAACTATGAATATAACCCACTTCTTGCAAGCAGTTTACACAAGAACTTTTATCACATTAACCAGATTCCTTATTCTGGCCTGATATCCTACCAACATGTTATCATTCTCACTTGTAGGATGAAATAAGACAGAGAGAAGAAAATAAAAAAGAAAAGGAATGTATTACCTATCATTTAGACTGTTAGGTTGAGTTAAGATAGAAAAATACATAACATAGCTACTACTCACAAAATATTCCCTGTGATTCACAAGGTCTGGAAGAGGGGGTGACCTTCAAAACCACGATCCAACTTCGAAAGCACTGCGGGAAGCATTCTAACATCTATTTTCCCAACATCAGAAGGCCCAAGCCTCTGCATACATTTTTCACTGCCTCAAAGTGCCTTAGAATAAAAACAAAAGGATCACAATAAAATAAAATCCAGATTAAAATGAATTTATATGAAAATAGGGTGAAATGACATCCACCTCATTGAGAAAACTATGTGACATACCCCCACATATGGCTTGAGTGGACCACACCAAGGTCCTTTGAATTCAACAACAAAACTACGACGAACTGGCTGGTGACTTTGCTCCCTCGAACAAGCTCG